ACACACACACACACACACACACACACACACACAGACAGAGAGAGAGAGAGAGAGAGAGAGAGAGAGAGAGAGAGAGAGAGAGAGAGAGAGAGAGGCCATGGGCTAAAGTCTAAAGCCTAATGGTGATCGAGAGCCATTTTCCCTACAGAAATGTGGGGATAAATCTCACGGCGTGTTCTGCTCTAGATTCAGTCACGTTTTGCTGCTGCAACTGTTCCAGTGAATCGAGTGAAGACAAGTGGCCAGGTCCATCCCCAAATGGACTAGATGGCTCTGTGGCCAGGTCCATCCCCAAATGGACTAGATGGCTCTCTGAACTATGCGTGCTGTCATGAATCATGATCTCTGTGCAAACCTCCACAAAAAAAAAAATCATGACCGTGCCACTGTTCTATCGGACTTCAACAACTTCACTGACTCATCACCTATGTATCACCTGGAGTCATGACCACGGGGCTGCTGATCGCAGGGGGTCGGGATTGTGACCGCCGGGCCGGACTTGTCGAGTGTGGCCGTGAAACTTGCAGGAAAAAAAAAAACGAAAGGTCATTTGAGACCACCTCCGGAGTTCGTCTAAAAAAGGGTCCGCCCGCGGCCCTGCAGGGCCACAGGCCGCTGACAGAAGGGTCACCCATTGAGGCATTTGGGTGGCGAGCCTCTCCAGTGTGACCAGAAAAATGACTCAAATTTTGGGATTTTGGGTCTTTTGGTCCTCGTGTGAGTATGACCTGAGATAGTTTGAACTACAGATATCAACAGTTCATGGGTGCGCCCTTCAGCCACTCCAGCTGGGTTCTTGCTGTGTCTGCACGGTTCTGGCCGTTCTTTTTTTTTTGAGAAAACTACGGCGCAGTCACGGTTACAGTTTGTAATTGCATTTGAAACTGCGTTTTAGCAGTTTAGTCAGGGCCCGAGTTTCAATTGCAGTTGAAACTGCGTTTTGGCAGTTTGAAACTCGGGCTGGCTCTTTCTAGCAGTTCAGTCAGGCACATGGCCGTTTCTTTCTTTCTTGGTTTTATTTTGTTTTTCTTGTTTTTTTTTTTGTTTGTTTTTTTTTTGTTT